ACTCTCTCTTGCTGCTATTTTTAAGTGGAATTTGACTCAGTTAAATATGACCAATGCCTTTTTACACAGAGATCTCAAAGAGGAAGTTTACATGTCAATGCCTCCTGGGTACTTCCCTGGAGAGGGGGAGAGTCTACCACCGAATGCCGTATGTTGGTTACATAAATCAATTTATGGTTTAAGGCAAGCCTCGAGATAATGGTTCCACAAGTTCTCTACTGTACTACTCCAAGAAGGTTTTAAGCAGTCTGAATGTTATCATTCACTATTCATCAAAGTAAACAATGATCTTTTTCTTGCTCTTCTCGTCTATGTTGATGATATAATTATCGCAAGCAATAATGATGAAGCAGTCAAAGATTTAAAACGTGCCCTAAGCACCAAGTTCAAAATGAAAGATTTAGGGCCACTCAAATACTTCCTTGGTTTAGAAGTAACAAGAAATTCAGCTGGGATCTCCTTATGTCAAAGAAAATATGTCCTTGATCTTCTAGCTGAAACTGGATATACAGGATGCAAACCATCTTCCATTTCCATGGAACCAAAGTTGAAGATATCAAAGGATGATAGAGATCTCCTTGATGACCCCACAAGTTATCGAAGATTAGTTGACAGATTACTATACCTGACGATGACATGACCGGATCTGTGTTACTCTGTTAACAGACTAAGCCAATTCATGGTAGCACCACGAACAAGACATCTTCAAGCTGCATTATGAATCTTGCAGTATATCAAAAGAACCGTCGGGCAATGACTTCATTTCCCTTCATCATCCTCTGTGTAAATCAAAGGCTTCTCTGATGCAGATTGGGGAACTTGTCCCGATACTAGACGGTCATTAACAGGATTTTGCATTTTCTTGGGTTCTTCTCTTGTATCCTGGAAGTCTAAAAAGCAATAGGTAGTGTCTAGATCCTCTGCAGAAGCAGAATGCAAATCCATGGCTAACACTGCTTGTGAAATTATATGGATAATGAGCTTGTTACAGGAACTAAAACAAAAAATCAAAGACCAACACTACTATATTGTGACAACCAAGCTGCACTACATATTGCGTCAAATCCGGTCTACCATGAACGAACAAAACATATAGAACTGGATTGTCACTTTGTTAGAGAGAAAATACAATCTGAAATATTGAAGACCATGCATGTATCATCTCATAATCAACTTGCAGACATGATGACCAAAGCACTCTCGCCGAATCAATTTTTCTTTCTTCTAAGCAATATGGGTACTATTAATCTATACTCTCCATCTTGAGGGAGAGTATTAAGTTAGTTATCTTGATTGACTAATTTGTTAGATCGTTAGTCTTGTTATTACTTTGTTATTTATGTTAATTTATTGTTTAAACATTTTACTATTCTAGCCCTCTGCTTCCATTATAAAAGGAGCAGTAGCTGTAAACAAAATATAATAATAAATATAGAATTTCTTTTCACAATCTATCTTTAGTTTTGTAATAATAAACTTCCTCGAAAAGTTAAGCGAACTTTCTATTGAAGCTTTTAGATATATTATATATATTTATATTTTATTTGTTATTTTTATTTTATTATATTTTTCATTTCATTTCCTCACCATTTTTTTTTAAAAAAATTTTGTTGTTTTTATTTTATGCATATTTTTAATTAATAGTAAACAATTACATTAAGAAATTAAGCATTTTTTTAAATTTTAATTAATCAAACATCTAACAAAATTAAGGTATGACAATATACTTACGTTTAGGGATTTATTTAAATTTCAAGATAAACCCTAATGATAACACTTACAAAGATAACACCATTTATGTATCTTCCAAAGGTAGTAATTGGTATTATAGTAATGCAATTATTCATTAAGCTTAATTCACATTGTGAAAGAAGTACAACAAAACTCTTATCATAGTTCAAATCAATAATGTCACTTCATATTTTCTTTTGCATGTGGACACTTTGAAAGAGTGTGAATGATATTTTTACTTTTGAGCATATAAAAGAAAAATTTTCGTTGCTCTTGCGTCTTTGCTTTCTAATAATGTTACAACTTGATTTTCAATAACATGATTTATATTAATATGGAGCTTAATCCATTTTTAGAAATAGAAAAAAATTTATTATCATAGTTGAAATCAATAAGATCTATTTATATTTATTCTTTATACAAGTTATTTTAAATAATATAAATGGTGTTTGCCACTTGTTTGAAAATATGTGAAACATAAATTTTTATTAATAATTATCTTTGATTTCTTTCAGTGTTGTAGTAACTGATTAAAAACTTATAATCATGCATAATATCAAATTTTTTGAGAAATAAAAAAATTTTCAAAAATTTTCTTCGTTTACGTTTTCTTCGTTATGCTAAACTGCTAATAAAATAAATGGAGTGAACCATAAGTCATCTTAATAGACGAATTGTCAACCAATGGATGCTAACCTAATTAGTATTTATGATTTTACCTATATAAAGAGTTTGGACTTGAGACTTCACAATATTGTTATCTTTACATTTGCATTAAGAAAAAGGTAAATTACATTGATTTCAATTTTGAAAAACATGCATTGAGCTT